GCCTTTATTGCCCCCTCATTTTAGGTAGCCAATGTCTAAGTTGCCCGTTCCTATCTACCCTGTGTACAGAGTGGATAACATTGAAACTTGATTTGAAGACTCTTTCTTTGGTCTTTGTTCATTAGTGACTAATGCTTCAAATCTGTTCTTCAGATGATCTCTAAATTCAGGTGGGATATGTTCAAGGTCATATTTTGGCTCTCATGGACTTGTTTTATTTTCTTTAACTTCAGCCTGAATCTGCATATGAACAATTGATGGTCTGCTCCTGTCCCTATGTTGGCTTTTCCACCCTCTCTTCCCACAGTTGGAGTCAGTTTGATTCCTATGAATTCTATCTGCTGAGGTCCATGTTGTGCTCACCTTTTATGCTGTTTTAAAAAGGTACTTACAAAATTCTGTCATGTGATCTCCAGCATTAGTTCTAGCACCAAGGCCCTATTTTCCAGTTACTGGTCCTTCATCTTTGTTTCTAATCTTCCCATTCTAATCACCAGTTAAGAATTAGTACATCTTGACTGCATGTTTGATCAATTTCAGACTAAACAAGTTGGTAGAATTCTTCAATTTCATTACCACTGGCTTTAGTGGTTAGTGCATAAATTTGAATAATAGTAGTATTAATTGGTTTTCTTGTAGGCTTATGGATATTATCACAGACAGCATTGTACTTTAAGATCTTGAAATGTCTTTTTGATGAATGCGATGCCATTCCTCTTCAATTCGTTGGTCCTGGCTTAGTAAACTATATGATTGTTACATTCAAAATGGCCAGTCGTATTCCATCTCATCTCACTAATGCCTAGGATGTTGATGTTTATATGTTCCATTTCATTTTTGACAACTTCAGATTTTCCTATACTCATACTTCATACATTCAGTGTTCCAGTTATTAATGGATGTTTGCAGTTGTTTCTCATTTTGATTTGTGCCCAATTAGCAAATGATTCCTTTACTCCATTCATATCATCAAGGTCAGCTCTACTTTGAGGAGGCAGTTCTTCCCTGTTCCAACCTGAGGGGCTCATCTTCTGGCACTATATCTGATCATATTCTGGTGCTAGTCATAAGGGTTTAAGTCTATAAACATGCAGAAATAGTCTGCCTTTCTTTTCTAGTCTGGCTTAGTCTGGAAGCTCAGCTGAAACTTGTTTACTATGGGTGACCTTGCTAGTATTTAAAATACCAGTGGCATAGCTTCCAGCATCACAACCCCACCCAAGCCACCACAGTACGACAAACTGATACCTGAGCAATACAGCAAACTGACAGCAGCAGCTCTGTCCTCTAACCCAATGGTATGTTATAGACTTAAATGTTTGCCATTGATTGCTACTTTATGGCCTAAAGGTAGGCAACAGGTGTTTTTCTGAAATAAAGTGCTGGTCTGCTAACCATAAGGATGAAAGTTCAAGCCTACCAACTGGCCCACAGGTGAACGATGTAGCAATCTGCATCTGTAAAGATTGACAGCCTGCTCTTTCCTGTAGGGTTGCTGTGAACTGCAATCGTCTTGATAGTGGTGGCTTTGGTTTGGTAGGAACATTAAGCAATTTCAAATATACCAAGACTGTTATTTATTTAAGAGTAATCTGAGAGAATTGTCTTATCAGGTGAAACCATGTTGCAAAGCAGCTGTCACACCACCTCACGTCCTCCTGCCCGTGAGGAGTCAGCTGTGTACATTTGACTTTTGTAACCCAGATATCTTAATTTTCTATTTAAAGTTATTGATGCTAAGTAACTTTAAATTGTTAAAATTCAGTTTTTGATTTAAAGTTATTGATGCTAAATAACTTTAAATTGTTAAAATTCAGTTTTCCTTGCAAGTTAAACTATTTGCTAATCACCTCTTTAGTTGGAATTTTTTACTTAACACTTATTTCCACTTCTCGTTAAGTACCACTGGTGGTGGTGGTGTGCTGTGGAGTCGGTTCCGACTCAGAGCAAGCCTGTACAGGGTTTCTGAGGCTGTAAATCTCTACGGAAGCAGAAAGTTTCATCTGTCTCCCACAGAACAGCTGGTAGTTTCCAACTGCAGTCCTTGAGGTTAGCAGCCTGACTCGTAACCACTATCCCATTAAATCCAGTGAGACTTGCATGCATATGGAATTACACCATAAGAGTGTGTGTTCGTGCAGTAAGACTAGCTAATAGCTCAGCTAGGATGTGGTAGTCATAAAAGCTTAACTGTATTTTTAAGGTAACAGATTATCACAGGGTTATCATCAGTTGCTAGCATTAATAAATTTAGGTTTATCCGTGCAGAAACAGCTAGTAGTTATTTTTTTAAAGCATTCTTAATATGCAAGTTTTCTTTGGTAATTCTTTAAAGAGAGCATTAAAAATGTTAAGGGAATGTTAATATCTTTAAGGTTTAAGACCTAGAACTTTATAAATTAAGATTTATCAGCAGCAGTGTACAAGTTTTGGTTACAATCTAATTTATGTTATTGTCCAGCATGTTTGGATTAAGAAGCTAAGCAATTTTATGTGGATTGTTAGAAAACTTTATATAAAAGAAAGCTTTGAAGACCGTGGCGAATGAAATTGCATTCTACATGTGCTTTGAATGAACTTGGTAAGGATTGATAGCATAGGGCAGTTACTGTGCTCCACCTAGTGATTGAAAATAAAGTAGAAACATACTATGCATTAAGTGATTATATTTGTAATAGCAGTGAGCTGTCTTATTACTTTGTACTATTCCTTGTGGGATTGAACATTTATGACGTTCTTTTAGATGTTGGTCTGGAATAAATACATTTAAATGGTTCCTAGTCAAAAATGTTTGTTAGATTCAGTAAAATGTAACAAGTCCATGAAATTAAATTTACCATCTACATCTGTGTTTAATATTGGTCTTCTATAACCTTTTTGTTTTTCAGAAAATAATCGGCATAGTTATTGGGAAAACAGATGTCAAAGGTTTTCCAGACAGAAAAAGCTGAGTTCTGTTTAACTCTTTGCTTCATATTTCATAAGCTGTGACCTGTGCCTACAACAGTCTATTTAAGGGATTGAATTACTCCTGTCTGTTTAATTACTCATGTCTGTTTAACTCCTTGACAACAGTGGCCATGCTCTCCTTTATCAACTGCTCGATTCAAGGCTATATGTGTGAAGACATTCAAATAATTTTAAATGATTTTATATGATGTTTTCAAACATAATTTTAAAGGCTTCATTTATACAATGTTAAAATAGCTAGTTAACTCATTAACTTGTCTCAACATGTACTTATGGAGCAGTTGTACTGTAAGGACCCGTGGATGCAGAGGTGAGGTGGACATTGTTGTCATCATCTTCATGTGGCAGAATGTCCAACAGTCTGACAGGAGCCGAGCTGAGTGGGCTCTCTAGTCTCGGAGCAGTCATAGACCAACCTCTCAAGGATACTTCTGTGTCCATGTGAGGCAGAGATGAAAAGAGCTGCTGTGAAAATTAATTAACTCATCCGTTCATTAAAAGCACCGTGTGTGGCTCCTAATAAGAACTCAGAGTCAACTTACGTTCAGCCTAAATCTCCTGCCAGGCAGACAGTGATGGGATGCAGGTTTTCAAGCAGGGAGGTGTCATGACTGAGCTGTGCCCAACAAAAGGGTGACAAGAGTGTCTGGGTATAAATTCAACCAACCAGACAGTCCTGGGAAAACCAAAAATCATTTTCCTATACAGAAAAGAGAGTTGATTTTGATTAAGTGACTTTAAACTGTGCAAGGGTTCTGGAACTATTGAAACATAATTCAAGACTGAAATTGGATTTTAAAAATCTACTCATACTCTTGTAGTTGACATACAAAGGTACAGTTAGTGTGCCCACACTGGCAGCTAGCTCACCATTTGTCACATGAAAGCATGAGTGCTTTTGTTAAAGGTTTGCAACACAAGTAAAGAGCTCTAGTTACGAGCTGGGCTGCTAACCACAAGGTCAACAGTTTGAATCCACCAGCTGCCCTGTGGGAGAAAGATAAAGCTTTCTGCTGCCACAAAGATTTACAACCTTGGGAACCCTATACAGGGTCACTATGAGTTGGAACCAACTCCACAGCGCACAACAAGTGTTTCTATACATCTTAGCAGAACTCGAGTCAGCCCTCTTATAATACTTTGGCTTGAGTAACTTTAAGTAATTGCAACTGTGTTAACCTGCCTTGTGCTCTAAATCATTACACCTGAACCCTAGGTATTGTCAGCCCATGACTTCCCTGATGGTTCCCACTCATACTGACTATAGGACACAGTAGAACTGCCCCATAAGGGCTTATGATTGGTGGCTTTATTTTTACTTGTTTTCATTTTATTATTCAGTTTTTTATTTTTTGAGTTGATAACAAAGTTGTCATTTCCCACCAGTACTCAATCGTGGCTGTGTTTACATCATTGAAATTAATTAGACCAGAATTAAACATTTGAGTAATTTGTGCAAGTCTCCACCTATCTATCTATCCATGAGATAATTGAATTCTGAAAAAAGTTCTTGTAAAGATATTTGATAAAATTACAGTGAGCTACAGTTTTCACCCATTAGATTATGAAGGTTGCAGAAACATCATTTCTGTATATTTGACGTCTCTTTACATGATATATACAAGATGATCTATTTGAAGAAAATACTGGAGATGGGTTAATAACGTGTACTATATTTGTTGTTGTGACGTGAACCTTGAGTCATTTCTGACTCATAGCAACCCTGTTGTATAGGGTTTCTGGGGAGCAGTTGGTGGGTTTGAACTGCCAGTCAGCAATCCATGCCACACCAGGACTTGAGTCCACACAGAATAAGGTCATAGAATTGAAAAGTGACTTTTCCCTCCCCAAAGGCCAATGCTTAATAGCAGTTTGGGAGAGATTGTATTTAGGTTAGGTTGCGTGATTTTTTAGTGAAAACGAGATTTTCATTTGGAAGGAGACTTGCTGACCTCTAGTGGCGCTCACTCCCTAGCTCCTGGTTTGTTTTGAAAGAAGAGTTTAGACTTATATATTTAGGTGACAGCAATAGCAGTTAAGAGACTCAGTAGTCAAAGCTAATAGCTGGATGGTTCAAGCCCACATCTCATTTCCTTCCACGTGCACTAGTAATAGGGCGACAGGGACAAGGAGGCAGATCCTAGAGAGACACCTTTGTGGATAGCTTGTTACTGTCTCACTTTGAAATTCATAAAAGTAGAACTTATACAGAGTTTATGGCTGAAGTGACATTTTATTCCTGTGTGAGTATTTTTATCATTTTCTTCTTTGTTCAAAGTTGAAACAAAACATTTCATGTGACAAGTAAAAAGCATTGCTTTCCCTTAGATATCGGAGCAGAAAGGTACACTGTGAGTTTCACTGTGCGTGACTCACCAGCCCATTTTGTCAACGTAGCTTCTTGGGGCAGTGAAGACTACATCAGGTCGCTTTCTGACAGCTTCAGAGTGGGCGAGTGCTGTAAGTGGACCTTGATTCTTGAACTGTTTCTGTTGTAATATTATCCCTACGACATATCTGTGGTAACTAGACTGCAGGAGTGAAAATGAAGTAAGACATAGTTCATAACTCTTAAGAAGTTTGTTAGAAACAAAAATCAAGTTAATTTAAGAGTATAATGCAAGGCATTTATTTGTATATTAATACTTGAAATGTATACAAACGTGGTTCTGACTCATAGAGACCCTGTAGAGGGTTTCTGCGGGACTGCTGGTGGGTTTGAACTACCGATCTTGTGGTGAGCCGTCCAGTGCTTATCCATCATTGCCACACCAGGACTCCACAAACATGATTGCCACCTATTTTTCTAGGTAGTTTTACTCTCTTTGATTTATTTCGTATTCAGTTAGCATCAACCTGATTGTTTCTCTATCTGTAAACATATACTTGTTGTTGTTGTTGTTAAGTGCCGTGGAGTCGGTTCCGACTCATAGTGACCCTGCACAGGGTTTCCGAGGCTGTAAATCGTTATGGGAGCAGAACGCGGAACCGCTGGTAGTTTCGAACTGCCCACCTTGAGGTTAGCAGCTAGATTCGTAACTAGTACGCTACCAGACTAGGGCCATTGAATAGATTTTTTTTTATAAAAGTTGATATTTGACTTTTAATGGATTTTAAGTAACTTTACTTTTAGTCCAAATGCCAAGTATTTTGCCTACTCCACCCACCCTGGACTTATGGTGTGGTGCTGTGGATAAGTACTGGACTGCTAACCACAAGATTGGTGGTTCAAACCCACCAGCTGTTCTTTGGAAACCTATAAGGGTCACTATGAATTAACTTGAAAGCACTTAACATCCCAACAACCCACCCTAGCCCTCTGATGGCTCATTGTCCTACAGTGAGAAGAACAAGGACTTTGAAATCAGGTAAATCTATTTCAAATCCAAGCTCCAACATATTTTTAAGAAATGTTTTATTGTGAATTATGTGATAGTTTACATGGGAAAACATTAGCTTTACATTCATCGTATTGTTTATCATTTCATTGCCATGGGTACATTTCCTTCCATGCATCATCAACCAACCAAAGGGTATACCCTGCAAGCCTGCCCCCAGTCATCAGCACATAGCCCCTCTCACTCTCTGGGTCTAGAGTCCCCAGCCTCTCCATCTCTCCACGTCATCATCTCTGCCCCTATCTCTAGTGTCACTACTTCTCTGGGTAGGGTCTCGCACTCCATTCTTCTCCCGTGATGGTTCCTGGGGCCTCCGCTCCTAGACAGCAGAGTCATTCACTCCCCTCCTTTTGTTAACAAAACATCCACCTTTACATTACCAACCCTCACAATCAGTCCTGATAACAATTATTCACCATTTTATCACAAGGGACCTATCTCCATCTCCTTTCATTAGCCCCACCCAGACAAATTGGCTACTACTCAGTGGAGATTGTACCTTCCTC